CTGGGATCATCCGCTTTTTCAATGGATCTTCAAGATTCGCAAAGGGTCACACATCCAATGGTCGCCAGGCAACACAGGCAGTGCCATCCCGCTTCACGGTGCTCAACCTGGCTGAAGGCTGAAGTTCTTTTAGAATGATGATATAAATCATATATATATATATGTGTATGTAAATGTGTGTTAATAGTAATGTTAGGGATGTAACGGTGATACAATCGGTTAAAATATATAATGGTGATGCAATAGGAAAATGATGGTTAAACTTGATGGTGATGGGAATCGAATACAATGTGAGGCCCCCGTTCGATAGCCAAGTTGGTTTATAACTCCAATTTCACTATGGTTTATGGTACTTACAACTATAGTTACTGGGGCTTTTGTTAACCAACGTTCACATCACAACGGGGGGCCTCAGATTGTAGGAATTTTGATGCGATTTTTTCGTGGGAATACCTGGAGGATCATCCTAGCCCCGGTTACTCACCACCGACTAAGTGTAACCATTGAGTAATATGGTTGGTAAATATGGTAAAATAAATCTAGACCATTTATTAGTATCTATTGATGAAGAACATATTGATGAATATGAGTATAACATAGTACTTTCATGGAGATGAATCAAGTATATATTACTTTGGTAACATACGAAAAAATGGTCAATAAATCTGAGTCTAAACAAATCTCAACTCTATATAATCATATATATATATATATGATGCCTATGTTCAAACCGTATGGTCTTCTGAATCATCAGCTTTTCACCTTCGAAAACGTGCCAGGTACGACGCCAGATTTGATGATTTTTCCAGGGTCGAGCTGCGGGGCTGCCCCATAATCCCAGCCCGGCGATGTAACATCACAGAAAAAGCATTTACCCTCTGGTTATGTCAAATAGCTATTGAAAATGGCCATTTATAGTGGATTTTCCCATAAAAAATGGTGATTTTCAATAGCTATGTTAGATTACCAGAGGGTATCCAAAGCTATATAAACTAATGATAATTGGACATATCATTGTGGATATTATTGGATAGAGGGGTAGGTCAACCACCATGTAATCCCAATAGCTATGTTAACTTATGTCATATATATATATATATATCATCACTAATAATGTTAATTTACCAGAGGATAATATATATATATATATGTATATTATATATATATACTGCTTGGTGGTTGACCTACCCTCTGAAAAATGATGGAGTGAACGTCACTTCGTCAGTGAGGTCGTTATAATTTACCCAGATATATCCATACTTCCCATAAAAAAAAAAATCCTTTACTATATCCTAGGATGATAATTCCCAATAGATGGGATAATAATGTTCCCAATAGATGAAATAATCATTATTCCCATCTATTTGCCAAGATAATAATGATTTCCCATATAATAACAGTATCCTTTACTATATCTTGGAAATTCCCAATATATGGAAAGTCATAAACATGTTCCAAACCACCAACTATAGATGAAACCACCCGACTTCCAAGCCATGTCAGCTCTGCAAGAAGGGCCACTCCTGTGCCACAGCGGTGCTGCTTGCAGCGAGTTGAGGTGATTTGAAATTGGACTTCAAGGGTGATTTCATGGATCTAAATGGGATTTTAATGGTGGGTTCAATGGATTTCAATGGATTTTAATCGGATTTCAATGGATCTTAATGGATCTTAATAGGATTTTAATGGGATCTTAATGGGTGCCAATGGGACTTTAAAAATTGGGATCTACAGTAGCCATCGCAGTGAACAAACAGGCAATTTGAGAAACAAACACTGGGAGTTACCCTCTGGTTATGTCAACATAGCTATTGAAAATGACCATTAATAGTGGATTTTCCCATTAAAAATGGTGATTTTCAATAGCTATGTTAAATTACCAGAGGGTAATCAAACAATAGGGGTTATATAATGGGGGTTAATACCCATTTTTATCGGGCTTAATAGCCATTATTTTCTCGGGATTAATGGAATATACCTACCATCTGGTTATGACTAACAGTTTGCTATGGAAAGATCCACCCATTCTTTAAGTTCGGTGAACCATCTATTTCTATGGGCCATCTATACCATGGCTATGTTAAATAACCAGAGGGTAACAGATCAACGGTTCTCAGTTGGTTACTCCATTAAACATTAACCACGTGAGTAATGGCTGAGACCCGCACCATAGATGTTAGTGGCTTTGCCCGAAAATGGATCATACCCACCAAATGGCAACTACCGGTAGTCAAACATGGCTAGCTGGGAAATCCCCTATGATGGACAGTTGGAATGCGAAAATCTTCTATAAATGGACAACAGGGAAAATGACACGCTGGTTGTGGGCAGGGCCTGCTTTCAAACAGTGTCTCATTTATTGTCGTGGTGATCATCGAAATTCCGATGATACTCGTAGCCAATAACATTCACAGCATAGTTCACAGTAGATACATAACTATCTTGTTGAAGTTTTATCCCCATTGTGTCGCCCATGTGTCGCCAATAATTAACAAGATTATAATACGTAATCAATCATACTCCTGTGCATAATGATTGTGTTTATATGCAAACATGATTTCATAAATAAGATATATCATAAAATATTAACAATACAGATATTGCTGATTCATATTCTTATGAAATCCCCATGTGGTTATATTCACTATTATATTTTGGTTGGTCGGTGGGTATTACAAATTTATCCCCAATAAATATCAAGAAGCAAGATAATCAATCACACTGATCCTTGCCGTAGGTGTTAATCAATAATGATATGTTCGTATGAAAACAATTGCCCATGACACAATCTGATTTTGGATCAATATGCTTGGGTATTACTATTATAAGCATACAAACGATGTTTAACCAATCGTGAACTACAATAATCATCATATCTGGAAATCAAGACCATATCTAGCAAAAATAGCAATGATGATGTATAAACTCTCTAAAATATTGACATAACCCCTTAGATATATATTATATGTATCAACGAACACTTTCAACAATCATTATTATGATTGTATATAAAAACTATTGACAACATATTGTATGGATAAAACCATCATTGTCATATTTAGTATGTGATCTATGTTTGTTTAAAAAACTATTATCAAAAACTAAACTTGAATAATCGAATACGTACCACTAACTAGTAAATATATAATATAGTATATATAATATAAAATATATAATATCATATATATAATATATCATATATAATGTAATATACCGATATAGTACATATATGTATATATATAATGACACTTAAACACCATAGTAAGACTTATATGAAAAATACAAACATCATAAGGCACCTCAGGTTCCGTGAGATCTGGCACCAGATGTCTCACCTGCCAAAAATCGACGGAGTTGACGTGCCATCGACAAATGGATGGCAAACACCAAGAATTAAGGGATGTACCCTTTATATTGGTATATATATATAATGTATATGTATGTATGGAGTAAAGAGATCGAATCTAAATCTAAGCAACTGAACATGTTTGATTTGACCAAGCAGCCGCTCAACTGCGGAGGTTCAGATAGGTTGAGCATATTGAGCCACCCCCCTGAAAGAATGATCATGCCTGGGGTCGAGCATAACATGTTTAACCACCAACTAAGGATTGAGAGAGCCAAAGAAATGGATAAGCATTTGAAAGAACCAAGAATTTGATTCGCCGAGACAAAGATTGGGCCTGATGCAACCCAAGAATAGGGGATATATATATATATAAAACAAGCCAGGAAATGCTGATTTGATGTGATTTGCATGAATTTAACATGATTTCGGCAAGCAAAAACAAGGGGGTTCAACTGATGTCACAAACCAATTCGGATCTGACGTTTCCAGAAACGTTTCCCAACATTGATGAACAAATTCACCCACGGTAACATGGCAACTGGAAGTGGCTCAAAGGGAAAAACATCATCGAACTAAATAAATCTTTAAATCATATTCAATTACCAGAGGGTACCCTCTGGTAATTTCTTACATAGCTATGGAAAATCACCATTTTTGTTGGGAAAATCAACGAACTAAATGGCCATGTTCAATAGCTTTTTGTATGTTTACCAGAGGGATCCAGAGGGTACGTCAGTCATTTTCCCATAGATCCCCCAATAGATAGATATGAAGTTGGTATATTCCAAAGCGCCAAGCCACCTCCCAGTTGTGTCTAATGCTTTGAGTCGCGTTTTAAAAGAAATTACCCTCTGGTGAACTAACAGTTTGCTATGGAAAATGGCTATAGAAATAGTGGATTTTCCCATCAAAAATGGTGATTTTCCATTGCTATGTTAGTTCACCAGAGGGTACAACAATTTGATATATCCACCACTAATCATCATTAATCATCATTCATCATCATTAATCCTAATCCACAGTTGCGGCCTATCCACCATGAATCCGCGAAAAAAATCGTAGTTGGAAACCAACTCACTCATGCTTTGGGGCGCCATTCCTGACAGGTTCATAAACATCTTTGTTCAAGCTCCAAAATTTGTCCCATGGACTTACCACAGCTTCCGCAAACCTGTCATCCCACCTGGTTGGTGGTTGACCTACCCCTCTGAAAAATATGCTCGTCAGTTGGGATCATTATTCCCAATATATGGAAAATATATAAAATGTTTTGAAACCACCAACCAGCCACGCACTTTTTGTCACTGTTTGCTCTCTGCAGCGGAAAATCAGGTAGCAGGAGCTGTAAACTTTGCACTGTCAGGGTCTGGCATCCTCCCGGTATCATCCGATGGAAAATGACACCCGAGGATACGTCGTGACACCCGATTGGATTCTTTCAAGCGGGCCGCCCTCATTGATGATCAACATGGCAAACCATTTCCGGATAAATTCCTGATCAACTATGGCAACGATGGTAGATATATGGTAGATATATGGTAGATATATGGTAGATTTATGGTAGATATATGGTAGATATATGGTAGATATATCTAGGTTAGTATGGCTAAAATGGTTTCTTAACGAACAAACAGAACTGGGGCGGTTCCACTCAGGCCTCTGGAATGAGATGGAGCAATGGATCATCCTCGGAAGTGAGGCTTTCGAGGGAATGGCACTGGCGGGAAAAGGTCAAAATCAAAACGTGTGGTGTATATATATATATAATAGTAATAGATGGCCCATTTATAGATGGTTTAACATAGCCATATGATATAACCATATTAAATATATATATATATATAATAATAGTTATTTAACATAGCCATGGTATAGATGACCCATAGAAATTGATGGTTTACCTATTAAAAATGGTGATTTTCCATGGCTATGTTAAATAACCACATGGTATATATAATAATCATAAATATATATATATATACGCGCATATTCATGCATTTATTAGTATACTAAGAATGACCGTGAACATGATAATGAACATGATATTGTATATTATGTATACTAATAAGTGACTAATAATAATTATCATGAACATAATAGTGATAATAGTACTAGTAATAGTAATAATAAACACGTGTATGTATATATATATATATATTTTTATTATTATATATATATATATATTCATAGTTCTTTCCCTAGACGTATGAAATCAACAGGAATCCAAATTTAAGAGACTAAGCTTTGAAATAATACATACTGCGGATGGTTGCGAAATCCTGCGCCACCAAAAGGATGGTTGAAACCCAAACAAAATAATGGGATGTTTACCATCTATCAACTGGCGCAGGACTTCGCAACCATCCACAGATATCCACAGTATCATGGTAAGATCATGGTAATATAATGTGGTACTGTTCCTTTATAATCTATATAGTGGTGCTATTTTATGGTACTATGTTATGGTACTATTCTAAATGCCAAATGTAGATGCATTGGACTAGTCTCTGACCAAATTTGACATTCTCCAGGACTACAGCACCATTGGGCATGATCCATAGCCATGCGAACCATGAAGATTCCTGGTTAAATCAATCTAGAGTTATCAATACTATATTTATTGAAATAACCATAAGAACCTCATATATACTATAAATCTAGTATTCATAACTCTAGTATTGATAATTCTAGATTGACCATAAGAACCATCATATATACTAGTGTATGTATATAACCATATATATATATATATATAACCATATATATATAACCATGAATACTATAGCTGCCAGTGAAGATTCCTGGAATTATGAATGCAAGTCGAGGTGTTTCCTCGCCCGCTTGGGCGGGCAAACGGCGGCTCCAAACGGGATCACTGTGTACCTAAAAAAGATACGGCCCAACCTAAAGCAGCTATAAATGGGATGAAATATGCAACTAAGGTGAACAAAAATATCAATTTTCCATTCATGTCTTTTAGCCGGTTATAATTGTGAAGGGTTATAACATGTTATAACTGTAACCAAGCACAAAAAATACCAGAAATGGTTTGCACGACCGATTTCGCACCAAGTCGCTGTGTTGCACATGCCGGCGCTTTCCAATGTCCGGGAATCCTTCAGAACGCGCACAAGATATCTTTGGACCAAATTTCTGGTAGGAAATCCCTTAACCCATCCATCTGCAAAAAACAGCTAAAGACATCAAAAACAGTGAATTGGTTGTTTTTTTTGTTCAGGGCAGAGGCCTAAGATCCAGCTCAAAATCCTGCGAAACTGTTCTCGTTTCCTCCAGCTCGCCGCCGAAATACATCAAACGTCTACTTTCTGCTGCGTAGCCCTTCTCCTGCTGATTTTGAATGGGAGGTGGTCAGGGGTTACTAAGTGTTACTACCAAATACGCACTGGGGATAGTTGGTGAAGCCATATATGACGGACATATATTCCTTGGGTCAATATGATGATGATATATCATCATATTGGGATGACTATATGGGTATATCATCACTCTAATATACATGTTTTTTTCTTTTTTTGCATTCGACTTCTTTGTCGCAACTGATTTTCCCTGGTGGTCTTGTTGGAAAAACCGTGGTTTTCTCACATCGCTCTCGTTGACCAAGAAAGCAAGGGACCACGGAATCACAGCAAGACAGCCATAGATTTTTTGTGTTTTGGGATGCGAATTGTTTCTGTAGGATTTCCAATTTGTTGTTCCAAGTTTTTGTTCAAGGGTCGTCCCTAATCCCTGATTGCTTGCGTGTTTGTCTGTTTGTCTGTCTGTCTGTCTGTCTGTCTGGCTGGCTGGCTGTCTGTCTGTCTGTCTGTCTGTCTGTCTGTCTGTCTGTCTGTCTCTCTGTCTCTCTGTCTCTGTCTGTTTGTTTGTTTGTTTGTTTGTTTGTTTGTTTGTTTCTTCAAACAAAGTGACACATGAAATTATTATAATATAATAATATATATATACATACACTTTCAAGAACCCCAAAGATATTGATAGATTCGGAGCCTAAGGTCCTAAGGGGTGCCCCAGTTCTCATCCAGCTGTCATGGATGACCATGACTTTCCCCAGATCCATTGGGAAAATCATTACCTACTTGGGGATATATTTTGGGAATATAAACATATTGTTAATGGGACTAATTGGAAAATAATGGGAATAATTGGGATCCAATATATGTTAAAACATTCTCATTATTGTTGGGTTATATGATATTGTATTCCAGTTGATGATGATATACCCATATTTCATTAGCCCATATCATCATATTGTTGATCAATGTTGCTTACCCTCCAATGTTTACATAGATTCGAGGTGTTTTTTTGACTGCCTTCGGTGCCAGACTCGTGGCACGCCAGGGTGAAACCGTGGGAATCCGACGGCGATACTTTTGTTCCACGGTATTTTCGAACGTTCCTCTTTCATTTTTTTCCCAAGCATATCTACCCCATAGGATCCATGGTGCTGGTATATATGCTAACATTTACCATCAATATACCCCAAATGTTAGCATATATATATATATACTAGCACCATGGATCCTATGGGTACTAGTATACAGTAGCCACTGTTGCCTGGGACACCCCAACTCTTCTTTTCCCAGTGTAGTTGACCGCTGTTCATTATGTCCATAAGTTTCCTCCAGGGATCCCTGCTGGGTTGACAAAAGTTGTGCTGAGACCAAAGATATTACGTAGGCCCCGCAATTATTGAAATGCATTTAATGTTTTTGTTGATTTCTTTTGTGCGTTTGTGTGAGGTGTACGGTCTCGAGTCCGTAGGGAAGTTTCTGATAATGGCATCATAAACTTGCAGCTTCCATCTTAGAACAAACAGTTGTTTTCCAGAAGGTGTCCAATTTGAAACACGTTTTCAATGTCTGGTGCGTTTTGTGTTGTATCTCGTGTTTCACGTCCATTTCCTGCCTGATTTGGTGTCCAAGGTAGGTCGTTTCTTCCACTCTGTTCAATTTCTGCCTGTCTGGAAACTTGATCACGTCGTTGCCGTCATAGAGATATAACAACATATGTTCCTATTCAAATGTAGGCCAAACTGTTTTGAAACTCCCTCAACTTCAGCTAACAATCTTTCGCCGCCGCGGTCCTGGTGGAAATCAAAACAGCGTCGTCGGCATAAGAAATTCTTTGGACAGGTAATTTGTTGGGATTTCTCCTCTGGTATGCAGTGTCTAGGTTCAAAGCCACATCTCTATCCACGACGGACATAAGTAGTACGAATAGGTACGGCGATAGTGGGCAACCTTGTCTTATTCCGGCGGACTGAAGCTTTGCGGTTGATGTTCCATATTCATCCTCAACAAAAAAGGAGGCTTTAGTGTAACAATCCTTTCGTACCTCTATCTATGTGTCATGAATTCCTAGTCTACGTAGTGCTATCCATAAACGACAGTGCTGAACCTTGTCAAATGCCTTCTCCCAGTCTAAGAAAGTAATTATCATGTTGGTACCTTTTTGTTCATATACAGTATATCTTGTAACCTACGGGTGAGGTAAATGGCTTGAGATGTGCTGCGGAATGGTCTGAACCCATACTGTGCGTCACACAAGTGTTCCTCGAGGACGTCTCGCATGGGGTTTCTAATCATTATAATCTAAATCTTATAAACAGAGTTCAATAATGAGATAGGTCGATAGTTTTCGGGCAGGTTGGTGTTTCCCTTTTTGAAGATTGATACAACCCTTGCAACAAAGACATCTGGCGCACACTTGTGGACCCACCAATGATCAAGTTTAGTATCCAAGTCCGGTTGTCGGAGTCCATCCATTGAATTCCATCATGAATTCGTGGTGCTTACCCGCCTTGTACTATTTTCCATTTATAGATGATTTTCCATTTATAGATGATTTTCCATTTATAGATGATTTTCCATTTATAGATGATTTTCCATTTGTAGATGATTTTCCGTTTATAGATGATTTTCCATTTACAGATGATTTTCCATAGATGTTACATAGATGTAGATCATCTTCCACAGATCTTCGCTTCCGCCGGCTTCTGGCCGCTCCTTAGCGATGGCAGCCTTCAGCTCTTTCACCTTCATCGCTCCAGTGGCTTTGATCAGGAACACGTCCTGGACCCACCCGGGACCTCCGTTTGGGCCGAAGTCATAGGACAACATTGGCATAGGAAAACCATGGGAAAACCATAGGAAAACCATGGGAAAACCATAGGAAAACCGGAAAATGGAGGTTTACCCTCTGGTAAACTAACATATCACTATGGAAAACCACCATGCTATTAATGGGTAAATCAACTATTTCATGTTGATTCAGTTGATTCCCACAGGGGATAAGACGCATCCCGCTTCGTAGTCGTAGCGCCCCATAAGGTGCAACAAAAACTCTACGTTTTACCGGGAAAAATGCTGATTTTCACCCTAGCAACATGTGGATTGAGATAGCTAAGCTGCGTGACATCTTGTATTTTGAGGGGTTATGGTGATTATACGTATAGTTAGATGGGGGAACCACCTTGTGTATGTGCATAAATCTCAGTGTAACTTATACATACTTGGAGATATACATAAGATAGATATCACATGGATAGATGGTTAAATCAAAAAAACCCTTTAATGGTTGATATATTATGAGGAACCAGCTTAACAGTCCCATGCAGTAGAATATGTGGAATTGTCAAAGATATATGCACATTTTAGTCCAGATTCTTTGAACATTCAATTCTATCTACTGCAGGATGACTAGATAGATAGATAGATTAGATTAGATTAGATTAGATTAGATTAGATTAGATTAGATTAGATTAGATTAGATAGATAGATAGATGGATAGATAGATAGATGGATGGATGAATGGATGGATGGATGGATCGATAGACAGATGGATGGATGGATGGATAGATGGATGGATCGATCGATAGATGGATGGATGGATCGATAGATAGATGGATGGATGGATCGATGGATGGGTGGATGGATGGGTGGATGGATAGATGGATGGATGGATCGATCGATAAATAGATGGATGGATGGATAGATGGATGGATCGATCGATAGATGGATGGATGGATGATCGACTCAACAAAGCCCAATGTTTTTTTTTTGACCACTATAAATAGAATATAATAGAATGTTATTAACATGGAATATCCCCAAACAAAATTGGAAGATAAAAACACCAGCGTCCTTTGGCGCAGCTTTGTCCACCATGCCCCAGTAGTAGTCGCCACCTCTGCCGGTTGATCCAGTTGGTTCAGTTGGTTGATTTCCATGGGAAAATCCCTTGAAACAAATGGATGATGACTGGCTCCACATGGAAATCTACCGCGTTTAGTTGGTGACCTGAACCTCAAATTCACCGAAAATCCCATGTTTGTTGCAATAGATGTTCATCCAATAAATGTGTGGTGACCATCTATTAATAAGTAAAATTAAGTTCAATGAAAACAGTGGATGGAGTGCGTTTCTTTTTTTTCACCTAGTCCGGTCCTGGAAAATTGAACACGTGTCTGTGTAGATCATCTACCCACTAAACATCTAAATATAGTCAATTTCCATGGCTATGTTAGATTACGAGAAGATAAAATTCCGTAAATCACCATTAAATCATCGAATCCCATTAAATCACCATGTCTTCTTCCATATAGTAGTTGAAAATAAATACAACAATAAAATACAACCATGTTTCCATGCTTGTCTCCATTAATCGTCATGTGAAAAACAACCAGAAGGTATATTTAAAAAAAATGTCAAACATTATATACCCTCCAATCCAACATAGCTAATTATAGAAAATTACCCTCTGGTAAACTAACATAGCTATGGAATATCACCATTTTTAAGGTGAAAACTCACTAATTCTTTCTATGGCCATTTTCAATAGCTTTTTGTATGTTTACCAGGCCGAGTCACCATTTATTTATCGTTGATCTCTGTTCGGGCTTGTGATCAAATGATGGTTATCCCATTGTACCACAACATGAATTTCATCCCAAAAAGTCCCGCCTATCGAAGACCATGAAATCCCATTGAAATCACAACAATTTTTGTGACTATGGTTGACTAACCATGGTAAAATATTTGTCCACCATCCCCATGTTAAAATATAATCTAATGGTATCTATGGTTGACTAACCTATGGAAGGCACAAATCCAAATACATCTAAATACATCCAAATACATCCAGGAGACCCTGGCGCCTTCTTGTGGCTTCTCGCCACTTCGAGGTTCCAGCACCTTTCCAGCTGATTTCCAGGTCGGTGATTTCCGATGAAACATGATCAAAAGTGGATCTGAAACTTCGAACGTGTGGATTCTGTGGATTTTTCATGTGATTTCATATCCATCAAGCATCATCAAACATTGGCTGGTTTGAACTGCTCTGAAAAATTTGACTTCGTCAGTTGGGATGATGGCATTCCCAATATATAGAAAAATAAAATGCATGTTCCAAACCACCAACCAGTTGGCATTTGAATTCCGGAAACATGACTAAAACACTAGGGATTTTGTCCACAAGAAACAAACTAAGTGGATCGAAATCCCACGGAACATGGCGATTCATCGTACTAAATTTCTGTCCCACTATTGATGATTATATTAGAAATCATATTTTAACATGAATTTTATCCATCTTTAGTGGCTTGAAACTTCAACTTACACCATTTTTGAAACACCGGAAAACGGCTGATGCTGTCAAGCCATCCGATGTTTCCTTGCCCATGATGACGACCTTGATAGTGATGCTGGTGTTCGCAAACACCGCCTCAGAATGAAGGTAGCCAAGGGAAGATTTAACTGCTTCAATCCACAATCCAATGCGATTCTGTTGCTTGATCTCCTACAAAAAACCAAGTGACTATTTTTTAATATCCCAAAAAAATTGCCATTTATGTTGGTTGATAATCCCTTTTAACTTCAACATTTGCCATGGTCTAGTTGAACATCCCACTGTTGGTCATCAACGGCTAAGTCAGCGGGCCATCTGCGCGTACGATTTTTACGCAGCACGTGCAGGCGTGTGACCCGACGAAATCGTTTCCAAAAGCTGCGGTGTGAGCGGCGAAAAATCATGGCTTATCCAAAAGGGATTGATGAGTTGAGGTCCTAAAAGGGCAGACATTCTAGCGACCTAATGGAATATTTATAGGATTTTATAGGGGTTAATACCCATTATTATCCCATTTGATACATTTTTTTGACATGCTTGAGGATATTTTAGGATGATAATGGTGACACTACATTTCTTGATGTTCGGGATACCCTTCATTCTGTTTTTTGATGATCCCTGTAGATGGCTACAAAAACCCCATGGAAAATCATCCTTTTCAAAATCCCATGTAGATGGGATTAATGTTCATTTTATCCATATAATGGACATATTATACCATTAATATCAAAAAATGGATATCAAATGGGATAATAATGGGTATTAACCTCTATAAATATTCCATTAACTGGTTGGTGGTTTCAACCCCTTTGAAAAATATTAGTCAGTTGAGATCGTTATTCCCAATATATGGAAAGTCATAAAAATGTTCCAAACCACCAACCAGTTGGGATTTGAATTCCGGAAACATGGCTATGAACTGTATTAACCGTTACTAACCCCAATAAATTTTCCATTCATCTTCATATTCTCCAACAGTGACTTAAAAAACCATCATCATAGCTAAATATTCTAATAAATATGCTTCTCATATTCTTCATATTTTAAGTTCGGTACCCTCTGGTAATTTAACATAGCTATTGAACATGGCCCATTTATAGTGAGTTTTTCCCATTCAAAATGGTGATTTTCCATAGTTATGTTAGTTTACCAGAGGGTATTTCTATGGGCCATCTATACCATGGCAAACTGTTAGTCATAACCCAACTCGGTTGATCGGTTGATCGCACCGCCATCCAGGCTGTCGCATAGAGACGCCAACCAGGACCTGGTGCCGAACTCGGGTGGATCTGGGAATATCCGGGCTAAAACCATGGGAAAACCATGGGAAAACCATGCATAGGAAAACCATATGAAAATGGAGGTTTACCCTCTGGTCAACGTTTACAGTTTGCGAACTTGAAAATGGCCCAGTCGAAATAGTTACGATTTACCCATCAAAAAATGATATTGTCCATAGTTATGTTAGTATGTTTACCAGGTATCTATGATGGTCGAAAAAAAAATGGGACATATGTTTTTTTTTCTCCCATCTCAAAATCATAGGATTTCCCCTGAAATATCCCATGTGGTTATAATAATAGTGGTTATAATACCAATAATAATAGTGGTTATATGGTGGTTATATGATGGGATTATAACATATTATATATATATATATCTGGTTGCTGGTGCAATTTCACCATCTTAAAAAAAAATGATGGAGTTCGTCAATGGGAAGGATGACATCCCATATATTCCCGTATATGAATATGGAACATAAAATTCATGTTTGAAACCACCCACCAGTTATAATGGGAATATCATCATAGGGAGTTTTTTGGTGATATCAAAGTGGACAAATAAGTATGTGGGAATAACATGGGAATAATGGATAGGAATCTTTGAACCAATAGTGAGTATAGTTGGAACCGGCTGTAAGTTGCGTTACAACCCCCATGAATACTATAATTGTAAGTATCACAACCCATAGTTGTTGGAGTTATGTTCACCTACTTCGCTATCGTCCGGCGTCCCCACTTTGGACATCTAATGGGAAAACCATGCGAATAAGTTACTGATGGGGAATAAATATTTTTTGTTTATCTTTGGTCTTTGATGGATAGTAATGTTAACCCAGTATTTGGCCAAACCCCCAAATTATTCATAGAGGGGGAAACAAGTATAATCGTAACCTATCACTATTTTGGGGGTATATAATCCACCCAATTTATCTACAATCAGGGTTTCCTAATCCGGGGTTGACATGGCCATCAAATTTGTTTCAATTGTGTTTTTGAGCGTATTTAAATGTGTTTCATATGATTCAGGTCATCAAATTTGTTTCAACTCTGTTTTTAACTGTATATCAACTGTGTTTTCAATGAATTTCAAGTGTGTTTTTGGCCATCTTTTCTACAGAGGAGGTCCTGCAAACATGGCCGGCTGGGGTTGTTTCCTCCGATTTATGGAGGTTCAAGTGGGAAAAACCATGGCAGAAACCGACGATAAAAACCAGCCAGCTATGTTTGATGACACCAGAGGGTAGGGACGGTAGGGATTGATTGAATGGTTTTTTCCACAAGAATTAATGTGTATTAAGAGGATTTCCCCCCCGTAAACTCTGAGAATCTAATCTACGACGTAGCAAAAATTGCACAAATATGTATCTGCTTGAGGAATTCGACAGAAATCCCGCTGTATTCTATACTGGTCTCCTCACGTGTTGATTGTCTGGTTGCAGTGCCTTACATTAAAATTGAATTCATTGAACATCCTAAGTCCATCATGTATAGATAAAACATGAAAAACCAAAGGTTTTTCATGGAAATTCCCCATATTCATACTATCGACCACTTGCAAAAACCATTGTTTTTCCAAGGTTAGACTTCCCCCAGTTATAACTTGATTTGTCAACTTCGCTATCATTTAATTTTTTGCTTGGTGGTCTCAACGGTGTACCTACCCCTCTGAGAGTTCGTCAGTTGGGATGATGACATTCCCCGGCGAATCCGATTCGGTGAATCCTGATGAATTCCAAGGTGGGCAATCTGGGAGCCAACAGCGATTGGGCAACTGAAGGGCCACAGGAGATGAGAAGAGTTCCGACCTCGAAAGTGTCATACGTATGGCATGTATGGTATGCATGGGATTAGTATGTATTTAGTATATATATATATACATTCCTTTATGTATAATGTGTATATATATATATATCATATGTATACATATAGTATATTTAATTATATATACACATAATATGATTTTATATATGGTATCTCTGGTCATCCCACCATCATTGGATTCCAAACATAATAGGTACAATTCGCCCTGTTGAGGGAGTGATGACCATCCTCCAATTTGGAGGTTTCCTGTAACCCAATTCTAGGACACCTCCATATTACTGTAATCCTATGATATATAATATGTAACCAAAATAAACTATTTATGGATTATAGATGGATTAATGATATTTGGATATATATATATATATATTAATCTTAAATATCTAGAATATTCCATTTAAAGAACTGATTACTTCCAATCCAATAGACCATTAATATGGATTAATGTAACACATATGATCAAAATATGTATGTTTCTGGTATTGTAGAAAAACAATGCACATATTGAATGAAGAATGGTTTGTATTAATAATACTGCTACAGTTATCAGTTATATACAGTTATACCGAAATAACCATATAGTCATCTTAGATCGTTAGATCATTATTAATACGCACAGTTGAACAGTACCATTGGACTAGTTATACATTAAAAAGAACAAACTATGTCATTGGATTACAAGTATACAATTGAATAATACCATAATTAATGGGTCACAATGGGTTAATGTTGTAAAATAATAGCATTATTAGTGTTTGCAGATGGTCATGATGATGGGTTAACCCAATATTATATCATCAAGTTTCCAGAAAGTCGACATACACCTTCTGTTTGGGGTATAATTTAGGTGGCCGACTACCTACTTAGGAAGTATTTGGATCCAAAGGAACAATATGTCTCCGCGGAGAAGATATTTTCCACCCAATCTTCCGAATATGCTATATACATAATCGAGACACCCATAGTCCCTTAGCTCAACTAGCAAAGGATTTACGCAGAGATAAGCTTTAAATCCTAGCTCCTACTTCCCACGAGCGCGCGCAGTAGCGGGCAATCATCACGGCAATCAAAGACTCAAGGTTAATCCCAAGAGTCTGGATAATTACAAAGGTGGATCAAACCAATCAGTGGTTCATTTCCCAAACTGTGGCTTTAATAGAGATTTTTATCTGGTTGGTGGTGTACCTACCCCTCTGAAAAATATGAAAGTCAGTTGGGATGATGACATTCCCAATTAATATGGAAAAAAATGTTCCAAACCACCAACCAGTTATATAGTTGCAGTAGTTGCTTGGAGCAATCCTGTGGCATCCACCATCACGACCACCACATATCAGCACCAAGCATTTGAAGAGAAGTGCCACCCAAAAATCATCAACCAACCATCAGTTTGACAGTTATATATCATATCCCCATCATCTTTCATGGTTTTTTGAAGCCAATGACGAACTAATCAACAACCTTGCCAACAGTTTACAGTTTACAGCAGCCACTGCTACATTTGAGGCCGGGAGACTTGTAGGGATTGTAGAAGTATCTCTTCACCTTGGAAAACCCGCAGAAAAACTGGAACTGTGAGGGGATTTTTCGATGATTCATTGGAATTATGTATGGGATTTTATATTGATTTTTTATTGATGTTACAGGGATATAAGATATACATATATATATATATATAACAAATTATGAATAAATTATCGACTGGTTTCATCAATTATATCTGCGAAATCGCAATCTTTTTTGCTATGAAAATCCATCAAAATGCGTTCCCCAAAATGGTCAAAAAGTCCATTTATGGATCAGGTTGCCCTCGTAATCTTTTGTTCACACCCAAATAGCTGGTAGTTATGGAATGTCATCCCTGCCACAACAACAAGAGGAAAGCATGAGTACCAGTACCAACTCGTAGCTGAATCATCTGCAGACCATTTGAGCCTTTGAAAATCACCCTTATACTGGTTGCATGGTATTCTTTGTATTGGATATGTTATACTCATCTGCAATAAACCAAGTATAACCAAATAGTATACAGTGACCCCTACAATAACCCACCAACCAGCCAAGCAGCCGAGGTATTCTTCATGGTTCAATTGAAATGATGAACGCAAAGGACATAACAAACCGATACCATCCAATACCTACATTGTCTGCGTAATTGGCACCTCCTTCCAGAGCATGTGCACCAAAAAACAACGGGAAATTCCAAGGTTG